GCCGCATTCAAGCGATCGGCGGCGGCATCGCGCTCGATCCAAGCTGCCTCCAAGGCCCGCATGCTTGGAATAAACGTGCCAGTGTCGGCGACCTCAAACCGAGCACGGGCCGCCGCAACCCTGCGCCAGGCCGCGACCGCAGTCTCCTCCTCCCTGGCGAGATCGTCAAGCCTCCTCCGCAGCTCGTCAAGCTCGGCATCGCTTGAGGATGGGCTCGGCTCGCCCGCGGCATCTGCCTCCGCGGCGTCGGGCCCTGCCGAGGTATCGGCCGCCGACGCCGCTGCCTGCGCGACCTCGGTCGCCGCCGAAGCATCTGAGGCATGCCATGCAGCGGAATCCCGCGAAGCGGGGTTCGCTTTCGGTCGCAGCTGCAGGATCGCGGGCGACGGCGCTCTGGCTTTCGGACGCGGATGAATCTGGATTGGAGGACGGGCGGGCGGTCGTTGAAATGGCGGCGGGCGGTTGCCCCCATGCCGCGGCGAGTAATTAGGCGGCGGTTCAAACGGATGCTGCGGCGGCATGATAGCAGTCGCAGTCGCGCGCGTGCCCGCTGTGTCTCGGCCGAGACGGCTGTGCGCGGTCGCACCATGCCCCCCCGTGCCCTCGCCCATCGCATCACCGCTTGCCGCCCCCGCCCGCGTTCTGCCCTCTGCCCCATGGTTCCTCACCACCCCCCATGGTTCCCCCTGCAAGTGCAACGCATGCAGCGCAGCAAACTCCACCATACATAAGGCCCCACAGAAGAGTAGGGATGAGGACGGTGAGAAGGGATACTAACATGGGGGGCTGCGGATTGAGGGTGGGGGGAGGTGAGGGGCAGGTGCGTCATGCCCGCGATTCAGGTGGTTTAGCTAGAGGGCCCTGGATTGGCGTGGGCACAATGTACGTTACCACGTACTCGTGCGGCAAATTTGGCATGGCACGCGGCATCTGTGGGCGTGCGTGATCCCAATCAGGCAATTCTGAAAAGCGCGCGCGCAGTCACGACTGGAACCAAACAGAATCGCACGACCCTCGCATGCCCTCAAGATTAGCCAGGTCATGAAACCCTGCGACCTTGCACGCGTAAGCTAGATTCTGCTGCGCAGCACCAACTATTACATGTATGCGTGGTGCGCGGTGCAAGGCGCCGACTATCACACTATGGGGGAAGCTATGAAGTAGAACGTGCGCGGTTGTATCAGCTCGGGCGCAGTGCAGCTATCATGGTCGGCGCCGCGCGCGCGTGAAGCTGGCGCCGTGCGCCGAAGCAACGCAGTGCAACTCAGTGCAACTCACGTGTTGGCTGGTGAGTGTACTTGTTGGTGCTATTATGGTATTATCATGCAATCATGCTATCGGCAATCGCATGCAATTCAACTCAATGCAAATCATGGTGTTTTGTTGGTGTGTGTGTGTGCTGTTGGTTTTGGTGTTTGATGTTGACAGTGCAATGCAACTCAATGCACAAGCGCGCAAATGAATTGATTGACGGTTTTTTCTCAAGCAGTAGCCGCGCTGCTCGCGCGGCAGAGCGTGAAAATGCGCCAGGCGTGCCCGCCACCCGCATCCGTGAACTGGCACCAGAACTTGAAGAAGCTCCACTCGAGGTAGGCTACCATCTCGTCGTCGGCCGCGTCGTACAGCTCATGGATCTCGCCGCCCGCGGCCACGTGCCTGGCCATGATCCGCGCGAGCCTGGCGTGGCGGTGCCTGCCGAAGCACCCGTAGTCCTTCACGACCTATAAAAAGGTCGCGGTGCGACGCGCCCCCGCCACCGCCAAGGTGCATGCCACGACCCGTAGTTCCCCTCGCCGCCATCCTTACCCCCGAATCCCCCCCCCCTCCCCCCACTCACCACAGCCGTCATCGGCATCATCATCCGCGTCAACGTCCCATATCGTCACCCCCTCCCCCACCCTGCCCACAACGTCGTAGTCATCCTCGTCATCGTCAGTATCGTCGTTCCCGCCCTATCTCACCTCATACGGGTCATGGACACACCTCGGCGGTGATGATGGCACGCGCCAGTGACCCGCCTCACCTGGTCCAGCGTGCCCACGTCCAGGCCGCCCTCCATAGACATCATCGCATCCATCTCGTCGGCGACGGCGACGGCGGCGGAGCCGTTCAGCTTGGAGTCGTAAAAGTCCAAGTCGCGGAAGGCAACGATGTTGAGCTCCTCCAGCTCGTGCTCTATCTTCTTGGCCTCGACGTCGATATCCACGGCGATATTGTTCTTCGCGACCGTGCCCGTCGCGCCCTCGGTCCCGCCCTTGCCCGTCAGGTGCGTGCTGCTGCCGCCCGAGCCTGTTGAACCCGTGCCCCTCGATCTGGCAGCCGAGCCTGTCTTCTTGTTGCCCTTGGTGCTCTTGCCATTAGCCTCGTCTGTGGGCTTGCTGCCGCCAGTGCCCTTGGCCTTCGAGCCGTACGTGCGCCTGCCATTCCCACCGCCATTGTCCTTTGCCATCCAGTCGTCCTTGTCCCAATACTTTGCGCCATTCGCCTCGTCCGTGGGCGTCCTGTCGCCAGTGTCCCTGGCGTTCGAGCCGTACGTGCTCTTGCCCCACCAGCCGTCCTTGTCCGTGTCCTTCCAGCCGTCATTGTCCTTCCAGCCGTCCTTGTCCGTGTCCCACCAGCCGTCAGCCGCGCTATCTCGCCAGTGGCCTGCGTGCGCGCGACTGGCATGGTAGGAGCTGGCGTCGCGCTTCGGCCTGGTAGCTGCCGCCTCTGCCCGCGTCACGGCTGCCGTGGCCCGAGCCCTTCTCGCGATCGTAGTAGTCCGCCGTAGCATGCGTCTTGCGGCCACCGCCCCGAGCCCGCTTGAAGGCTGCCTGTGCGTACCATGGCCACTTATTGGAGTCGACCGCGCCGTGCGCGTCCTCGTCGGCCGTGCCATAGTCGCCACCGTCGTCACGGCCGTGCGCGCCACTGCCGTACTCGCCAGGCTGCCGCTCGTCCTCGCGCTCCCACTTCTCGTCCGACATCCGCCCGCCGCACTCGGGATCGGAAGGCTGAATGCGTTCCCACTCGGCGTCCGAAATCCTCCAGCCGCGCTCGCCGCGCGGGTACTCGTCCTCGTTGTCGATGCCCTCGGTGTACGTGCCGTAGTGGTTGTGGCGCTGCCAGCGCCAGCTGCTGTCCGCGCCGTGCTTCTGCCGCTTTGCCGTGCGCACGTCGCCCTCAGCAGCAGGAGGCTGCACGACGTACGCGCCTGGCGCTGGCGCCGAGCTGGGGCCCGCCGTCGCCGTAGGCTGCACCGCCACGTACGCGCCTAGAGGCACGTGATGCTGCACCGCCACGTTAGGCTGCTGCACCGCCACGTTAGGCTGCTGCACCGCCGCGTTAGGCTGCACCACCGCCCCGGGAGGCTGCAATACCACGTTAGGCTGCACCGCCACGTACGCGCCTAGTGGCACGTGATGCTGCACCGCCACGTTAGGCGGAACCACCACCAAGTATGTGGCCATCGCCGCGACCAGGCGCGCCGCCGCGCGCAAAGATGCGCGGCACGGGGGGCACGCGGCGGGCGCGTAGTCGCGCCGAGACATGGCGTAACAGCCACGCTCGGCTCGAGCCAAAATGGATACGGACTGTGGGCGACCAAGACGCCCCAAGCTTTGTCGAGCTTACGAGCTGTCATCGATACTAGCATGTCCAAGACGCCAAAGACGCCCAAGACGCCCCCATGACGCCCCAAGACGCCCCAATACGTCCACGAACACGCCCCAAGACGCCCCAAGACGCCCAAGACGCCCCAAGACGCCCCAAGACGCCCAAGATGTCCAAGGCGCCCCAAGACGCCCCTAACGCACTTAAGGCATCCCACGACGCCCGAGACATCCCCACCAAACGTTTGCACGCGCACGGCACTACACGGCACGTCACACCACGCACGCAGTTGTCATTGACACGGCCACCGCGGAAGCAGCGCACGGCCATTGGGGGTGGCGGCTGCGTTTTACGCCAATATGGGTAGCTCGGGGGCAATTCGGGACCATTGATGGAGCGTTTCGAGAGGTGATATATCGGATGGTTGACACATACCCCCCCCCCCCCCGCGGGGCACACCTGGGGCCCCGTGACGGCGGTCAGGGCGCAGCCCACAACACTCATGATGCGATGAAGGATGTGCGATGAGGGGCAGTGCGAGAGGCGAGATGCGAGTGCGATGGGGCGCTGAAAATGATGACAGAACGATGCGCGAGAGCGCCAAACATGACCAGATGCGCGTGTGCCAGCACGTACCGAACCAGTTGCCTCCAGATGTCGATCTGCAAATCTGCAGATCGACATCGATGTCGATCTGCAGATTTGCAGATCGACATCGATGTCGATCTGCAGATTTGCAGATCGACATTTGCATTGTGTTGGTTTTAGTATTGATGCAAATGTCGATCTGCAAATCTGCAGATCGACATCGATGTCGATCTGCAGATTTGCAGATCGACATCTGGATTTGATCGCCCTGCGATCCTCGAGGATCGTGGTTCGGATCATGCCAGCGGCCATGCCCCCGCCCCTCCAGGGTGGTTTCGCGAGTCCAATCGGACCGATGCTCGAGGTGTTCTGGCCGTCGGGTGGGCCTCGTCACCACAGCTGGGAACGGCTCGGGAACTCGTGTGTGGCTGGACTCCTGGACGGGTCTGAGGGGCTGTTCTGGGAGATGGGGGTGGCGACGACGGCGATGGCGGCGACGACGACGACGACGCAGACGACGCCACCGACGACGGCGACGACGACGACGGCGGCGACGGCGAGCGGGGGGGGGCGTTGCCGACGAGCGACGACGACGCCGCCGCCGCCGACGACGACGCGATGTTGAGCAGACGACGGCGCGCGACCTCACGCGATGGCATCCGCAAACAGTCGACGCGACACGCCGCGTGCAAACGAGTGCGCCCCCGCGCGACCTTACGCGGGCAGCTTACGCGCGACCGCCAATGACGACGACGATGACGATGCCAAGGACGAGGGCGGCGTCGACGGCGGGAGGCAAGGATGAGAGAGGCACAAAGGTTTCAAGAAGCGCCCCAGCGAAGGCAGTCCCACACAACCTGTGCTGAGCCGAACTCTTCGAACTCATTCCAGTGATTCTGGAACAACCACTCGATGTACTTGTGCACGTTGCGGTCGGCCGACTGTCTCACTGCATTCAGGTCGCCACCATTGGCAACATGCTTGGCCATGATCCTCGCGATCCTGACGTGTCGTCCACCTCGCTTCATCTTCTCCGTCCGAACGGTAGGTGGAATCCCCGACACTTCGTCTTCCAGCAGCACTGGGGCCACGTGATCCTCGCCTGTGTGCTGCACCGCCTTCATGACGATGACGCCAGCATCGCTGAGCAACTCCTCCACCTTGCTGAGCTGCTGCTTGAGCCACGGCACCTTGGCATCGTCGTCCATGCTGTGCTGACGACGGCGCTTGTGGGCTGTGCCGCCCTCGTCCCAGCCGCGATCGTCGTACTCGGCGCCCGTGGGCCGTGTCGCCCGCGCCCCAGCCGTGAGCGCCCCGCTGCTGTACTCGCCGCTGTGCTCGCACGTGTCGCCACTGCCGCCACTGCTGTACTCGCCGCCACTGCTGTACTCGCCGCCGCTGCTGTGCACGCCACCGTCGCCACTGCTGTACTCGCCGCCACTGCCTTCGACCGCGTCGCCAACGTTCGGCTCGACCTCGCCGCCACAGTCGCCAGTCGTACTCGCAGTACTCGGCTGCGCCGCCACCCCGCCGTACTCGCAGTACTCGGCTGCGGCGCCCGTGTCGTGCTCACCGTCGGCTTGCTGTCCTCACGGCCACCTCCACTAGCCCACTTCGGCTTCGGTGGTGTCGCCACAAAACTGTCTGCTGTCGCCGCGGCACTGGCCGTGCCACTCTGGCCGCCTCCAGTCCGTCGACCTGGCATCGGCTTCGCCTTCGGCCACGGGGCGCAGGCGGGCGGGGCGGCGCTGTCCACGGCGTCGGCGGGGCCATGGTGCCAGCCCCACTTGGGGCCAGCCAGCAGGCGCGGCGCGGGCTCCTGATGCTCCCTGATCCCGCTGCTGGCTGCCACGGCGTGCAGCCTGTCGTACTCCTCCTTTGTGATGGTGACCATCGGGGGCTCCTGCTGGGGCGAGGCGGCCGATCCTGCGCATGGGCTCGCCGTCGGGCGCGGGGCCGCGCGCTGGGGCTCCCGCGGGCGAGCCGTGGACGCGGCCGATGGCGGCCTGGCCCTCTGCGACGGGCGGGGAGGCTCGGCCATGGCCCCGTCTTGAGCCAAAATATGGCTACAGGGTAACGTTGTTATCAATATTATAACAAAATTTGCCTAAACCAATGAACCGATATTAAGACGGGGGGTGCGACTTGGCCCGCGGGGGCGCGGTTCCGGAACTGGGCCGCCGCGTCAATTGGTGACGGCGGCGGTGCTTTTATCTTCGCGCCCTCGATCGTGGCGCTTCCTTATTCACGCATAAACTTGTGAGCGCCATATATTGCCTTACATATGTTTCTATCGTTGCACACCATACCTTGACGCTGTATATATTCGCGCATCGTGCTTATCATTGTGTTAGCTTAACACATCCACAGTGTTTTTATCTCCGCGCATACTGATGATTGGGAACTTGAGTGATGACACTCGCTGTTTTCTCGTGCGTGAATGTGCGAGTTATGCAGGCGGCACCACTTGTTTCGAGCCGCGTCCAGAGGCGGAGCCACGGCGACGAGCCGCGGCGCGTGCACTGTTCGATGCGGACCCGCGGCGACCAGCCCTGGTGCGTGAACTATTATATATAAGTCCTTATTTGAATATACGTGTATATCTAGTGGCCGTCGGCCCATCCCGCCGCCGTGCCTGGATTCGTGGACATTGGATGTTGTTGGAGGCTCTTGGGCCGTCGTGGAGCGGCGGCGGACCGAAAGCGCGACGATCTCAAATTCTGGGCCACTGGGGGAATGTCTGCAGTCTGCCTCAGGTGGTATCGAATAAGTACGACTTGAGGCACGCCCGTTGTATGCCTCAAGTAGTTCCGATCGGGTACCACCTGAGGCGCGTCGTCAGTATGCCTAATGTGTTAGCAAACGAATTCCCTTTAGAGGCATGTCGGCAATATGCATCAAGTGGTGCCGAATGTATGTGTGTCTGGATCTCATGTTACGCCTTTCGGGGGTCTCTGGAAGACAGTGTTGAAGCCTCTTGGGGGCAGTTTTGGGGTATAGTCTTTTGTGGCTTCTTGGGGGCTGCTTGGGGCGTCTTGGAGGCATCTTGGAGGGCCTGGGGGCATCTTGGGGCACTCTTGGGGCCCCCTGGGGTTTCTGGGGGCGAACCACTTGATTGTTTTAATTGTTGTGACGCCCTCTTGGGCCCCTCTTGGTGCCGTCATTGAGCCCTCTTGGGCCGTCTTGGAGCCCTCTTGTGCCGTATTGGGGGCCGTCTTGGGTCGTCTTGGGGCTGTCTTAGTTAGGGCTTCTTGGGGCCGTCTTGGGGGTGCTATTGGGCCGTCTCAGAGCGTCGGGAAGCAGAAAAGGTGCGAAAGCAAAGCTCATTGGAAAAACACAATGGAAAATCAACAATTTTAGCATCTCGGGGCAATCTTAATCCCACCAACCCTCTGGGCGTAGGTGGTTTAAGGAGTTTCCTCTTCCAACTTCCTTCTTCCCCTTCGGGGGGGGGGTTTACCCCTCCCCCCTACCCCCTCCCCTGGACCTGGACGGGGCGTTCCACGAGGGGTTGGAGCGTCCAAGATGGCCCAGGATTGCTCCAAGAGCGCCTCGGAGAGCCCAAGATGAGCTCCAAGATTGCTCAATACAGCTTCAGATGCCCCACGATGGCTCCGAAGATGGTCCAAGATGTCCCGTGACCGCCCCAATGCGGCTCCAAAAGGCCAAATAGCTCCCCAAGGAGGCTCCCCAATAAGCCAAAATCCTTCAACAACCTACGGAAAATCAATGATGTTCTGCTTCTCTCCTTTTCGCTTCCGATGGCCATCCGAGACCTCAACATTGCTCCAAGAGGGCACAAGAGGGCCCCAAGAGGGGCCCAAGAGAGCCCCCAGACAGCCCCAAGAGCGCCCAAGAGCGCTCCAAGAGCGCTCCAAGAGCGCCCCAAGAGGGCCCCATAATGCGATTTTAAAGGCTCTAGAGGGGCAACGCTAATGAAAGCTCCCCTCTTTTTCTATATATCTCCTCCAAGATTGCCCCAAGAGGCGCCCATGCGGCTCCAAGAGGCCCCCAAGATTGCCACAGGAGGCCACCCCAAAAGCCACCAAGAGGCCCCAACGATGCCCCCAAGAGGACCCCATAGGCCTCTCCGATGCACCCACGGCGCCCAAGAGACCCCCAGGACCGCCAGGAGACCCCCAAGGCGCCCCAAGAGGCCTCCAAGAAGCGCCCAAGAGAGATCCCAAGAGGCTCCGAAAGGCATCTACAAGACCTTTGGCCCTTTTGCTTGCTCTCCTCCTCATCATCATCCTTCTGCCCCTCCTTCCTCCTCCTCATCCCCCTCCTCCTCCTATTCATATTCCTTCTCTCCACTCCCTTATCTATCCATCCAGCCTCCCCCGTCTCCTCATTCCTCATTCGCACGGTTCGGCTGTCTCCCATCATTGCTCCCGCACGTCCCTGATCACCTCAACTCGCCTGGGCGTTGCTTCTGGATGGGCTGGTGGGGATACGCGCAGCGTGAGGAATTGGGAGGGCCCTTAGGGGCCTCTTGGGCGGTCTGTGCGGCATATTGGCCCGTATTGGGGCATATTGAGCGTCTTGGAGCGCTCATTGGGTGTATTCGGGGCCTCTCGGGGCCTTCGTTGCCAGTCGTGAGGCCCGCTTGGGCCCGAAAACGCCACGCGGGAAGCTGCGAGAAGCCCCAGGAGAACCGCGGGAAGGCCAGAGAGAATTGGAAATTGTGGTTATGGTCCCCTTGCTGAGGACCGAGGCTCGGAGGATTGTACACGGGACCTGAGGACACGCCCACTCCGTGCCGCGCGGCACGGTTGCGGATATACATACACAAATATAGGCATATACGCATACAAAAGCATGTACGTGCATACCAACGCATTGCATCGGTGACATTGCTCGCAGCATATCCCGTTACGTCCGCGGTCATTTGTTGCTCTAACTTGCATTGCGTTTCGGCGCTCGCGCCACTTACCGACTCAAGCCGCGTGCGCGCGCGCGCGAGATGTCAGGCGTCGCCCCTGCAGGCGACCCTCCAGAGAGTCCACCAGGGTCGCCGATATCTCCGCCGCCTGGCGTCAGCGCCGCCGCTCTTGCAGGCGACGCTCCTGCACGCGACGCGCCTGCAGGCGACTCTTCCTCGGGCTCGCACGCGGGCGAAGGGATGTCGTCGGAGCCCGCGGAGGCTGCCCCTTCGGTTGACGACAGGCGCAAGCGGAGCATCACGCGCACGTATTCTGCGATCGCCGACATGCCCGAATCTGCTCGGAACACGTTCAACCTGATGCAGTCTGATGACGGCCCTTCCAATACAAACATGACACGCTCGATACGTTATAAGATCACGTACACCATCGAAGATGCAGTGGTATTCGAGGACTCTGACTGAGATTCCTGCACGATCGAGCGGCACAGGCCATTCGGTCTCTTCGGTTGCAGCATCGGATGTTGCGTGACAGCAAGTGTCGCGGAGCATTCATTGATTCGTCTGTCATGCACTCGTGAACTTTTGTGTGGCTGCTGCGTCGGGTACTCTGCGGCACGAGCAAGTGCGCTGCTATGCGCTATGGTGTACTGTTCTGCGGATCACGTTTCAACGACGACCGTCAGCGACGGAACCCATGTGTAACTTGGGGGAGGATGTAACAGTTATAACAACATGCGCGTGCCTGGGGTTGTGAGGGGCGGCGGTGGTCGTGGGAGGGGGAATGTGGGGGAAGGCATCAGCAGCTCTGTATTGCACCCCCCCCCCTGTCCGTAGAACTGATTCTCTCGAAGGCAATCCTCGATCGCTCTTTCAGAGCGCCCGACCCGAGTGCAGCCCCGCGCGCCCTACTCCCCGACCGCCTCGATGGCGCAGCGCTCGAGCTTGGCGTGCAGGGGCGTCGCTGGCGCTCGGGCGTTCGTGGACAACATGTGGGTCGACGGCATTGATGCAGAGACTGGGTGGATCGATCCCGCCATTTGGGAACGGTTGTCTCCATCTGACAAGGAGCGGTACTACGAGCTTGTGCAGAATGTGCTGGCCCAGCGCAAGTCCGCCCATGGGCAGCCCAGCGACGGCGACGGCGCGCAGCAGGACAACGTGCAACAGATCGGCGACGGCGCGCAGCAGGACAACGTGCAGCAGGACGGCGATGGCGCGCAGCAGGACAGCGTGCAGCAGGACGACCAGCACGACGACGGTGCCACGCACCACGGCAGCGCTCAGCCCAGCGTGCAGCATGACAACGGCGACCAGGGCAGTGGCAACCGTGCCGTGGCTCAGCAGTACGATGGCCAGGGCGTCGATGATCAGACGGGCAGTGGCAAGGACCAGCACTCCGACACGCAGCACGACAATGGCCAGCAGGCCGTGGCTGAGATCTACCCCAGTGCACAACGGCGCCACCGCAGGATGTTCCAGGCGCAGGCTGTCTTGAGTGACCTGTACACGGACCTGAGCACGATTGATAAGAAGATCGACGCGCAGGATAAGATGATCAGCTACTTGGCCGAGAAGATCAAGAACCTCGAGAATCAGATCTGAGGCGGCCACTAGGCGCGCGCGCCTAGATAAGGGCGCTCCTTGCGCCCGAGCGCATACAGAGCGCTCCTTCGCTCAACCGCGGGACGCCGCCCCCCTGCGAGTCGAGCGCGCTATGCCATTCCCGCGGGCATTCGTGCCGCCTGCGAGATGAGAAGAAAAAAAAAAAAAAAAAAAAAAAAAAAAAAAAAAAAAAAAAAGAAAAAAAAAAAAAAAAAAAAAAAAAAAAAAAAAAAAAAAAAAAAAAAAAAAAAAAAAAAAAAAAAAAAAAAAAAAAAAAAAAAAAAAAAAAAAAAAAAAAAAAAAAAAATAAAAAAAAAAAAAAAAAAAAAAAAAAAAAAAAAAAAAAAAAAAAAAAACGCGACCGCGCGATGCATCCGCGGGCGCGCGCGCCGCCCCTGCACAGATCT